GTGTAGTGTAGTGTTTGATGAGGAGAATTGATAATTGGCTTAAACTCGGTCTAAGCTCTTTTCATATTTTGCATTCTATCAAAGCCAATAACCAAACACTAAACATCGTCTGTTTGTACAACTCGCCGTAAGACATTTGGCAATAATATCACCGAATATTTTGAAAAGTTTCGAACGATTATTTCCGACAAATTGCAAATCGTTGTTTTAATCAAGCGTAAGATGAGTACATCCGCTCCAAGGACTTTAGTAAATTTGTAAAACTTACTTCCTTAACTATAAATATTTCTTATCGGCGCGATTAGCGGAACAGATTTATCCATGTATGTCTGTCCGTGCGTCCATTCATTTGTGGAGGCAATAATTTTGAGCTGAAGTTTTTGATTTGGCTTTGATTCGAAATTCGATCCAGTTTGCGAAAATTATTTTGTATATAAAGCTACTGCGAGTAAAAATATTACTTGAAATGTATCGCAATAAGCGATATGTAGGACACACGAAAGTATGATATACGAGCGAAATATCAAATAAATGGATTTTTAATCCTGCGTCCATTGTAATTAATCATCGTACAGAAAGAATTCTTTAAAGAGCATTGAAAAGAACTGAGGAGAAGGTTTAAGAAAAATATTTCGATGTTAATTTTTAATATTTGATAAGATATTTAATGTGATGTACCGTTTAAACTGAGTTAAATCATTATTCCAAACAGTTTTTCAAGTCAAAATCAATATACATGAGTACATGAGCAAGTAAATACAAAATGAAAGGAAAGGAATTGCAATATGTGCCATTTTTATTCATTTAGGGTATAACACTTGTTGATAAAATCACATCTATACTGTGCACGTCATATACTTATTTAATTTCTCATCAAACAAACAAAACGAAGAACAACAAACCAACATGTCAAGCGTGATATGCTTACATACAAGTCCAAGACAATTGAATTATTCTTGACATTTTTCAAACATGCAGACAAAACATTTCCTTCTTTGTTTATGGGACAATTTTACCAGTACTTGATAGAATTCATTTTCAAATAACAAGTGCAACCAACAACCCTTTTTATGGTTAATAAAAAAAAAAGAATAAAGAAGAACAATATCTATGTATATAGCATATGCGGGAGGGAAGGGGGTATGAAAATGTGCTCGGTAACCAATAGAAACAATAAGTTTTCTATTGACCTACTTTTTTATATACAATTTTTTCTTTTCCATTCTTGGACATATACATAGTTTTATGCATACACATACGTACAAACATAAATGAAGGTAAACTGGTTCACAGTCAGAGCTTATCACCCCACTATTTTGCGGCCTGTTGTAACCAATTTACCTATTGTAGTAACAAAAACCCAGTATACCGAATGCTTTGCCATCGAAATTCGTAAAACCGTTTCACATATTAAATGTGAAAGGAATGATAAGCTTTTCTCTCGGCTTGTAATTGCTTAAGAAGGCTAAATAGAAGAGGGAATAAATATAAAAAGAACGTTGTCTTCACGGCGACATCTAATAAATAAATGTTCTCCAGAAAGACTACACACAGTTTCAATAGTTTAATTTTACATACTACAAAACGATAATATGAGCGAGGTTCGACCTAATTAATTTGTTAGCAATCGTTTGTTAGCAATGGCCCCATCATACCTTATAAGATTTATGTAATTATTATTTGTTGGTTGGGTGATTTGTTGTTTTTTATTTTTCAGTTTCCCATCTTATTTTTTTTTTTTTTGTTGTTGTTTACAACAAGTTTTATGTTATGACAGCAGCTGCTTTTTGAGAAACTTGTAACAGTTTCCATTTGGTCGAGTTAATGGGAAAAAGCAAAAACATATTAAATAGTGATAGATATCTGGTGATGAATCAATGCCGCTTCTTATTTGTACTTCTTGATGCCTATTAAAAGGCAGATGGTTTAAATCTATTGTTTTTCTCATATTTAATTAAGAAATATTAGCAAATATTAGTTAGCTGTACATGGCCTACCAATAAATACTCGACAATGCTTTGCTTTGTACAGGTATTCATTTAACGACTTTTCAATATAAGTTGTTGTATGGAAAGTGGCCGAGAGGTGACTTGATCAGAACCGTTTTGTGCGTCGGTATAGTAAATTTGCATGGAAATATTTCAAAAATTGCGACCTGTAGATTGAATACAAGATTGTAAGGTGGACGAACAACTATAAAAGATGGACCTATGTTAAGTCCTTCTAAATGTTGCGCACATCCTCACGGAATTAACATACGCTTGTAACGCAAATGATGTACGTTATTTGAAGTTGTATTACTCCAAGGCCACAATTTAGGAAAATGTGAAATTTTTATATTTTGTTAATTTAGGATGAACCGTTAAAGCCATTTTTCTGATTTACATAACTTAGTCTGGTCGGAACTTAGCGTTAGTTTTATTTTCCTAGATAAAAGTTTTGAACTCGTAACAAGACCTACGTGGTGAAACTATATCTAAAGCAATTATAGTTAGATCAATTGACGCCATTGTTTGAGCTGATCAAAATAATATATGTACCTGAGGAAGCCAAACTTAAAGCAAGTAAGAAAATATTAAACACTTTATTAGAAGATTCAACATATCATAGTGGGTTTTGCAAGCTGCCACTTTATATCTACTTGGATGATATTATTGTAATGGAAAATATTGTTAGTTTTAGGCAAATACTCGAATTATATTCGAATCTTATACCGTCCACCAATCTGGTCTTGGAAAGAAAATAGAAAAGCAATACGGTGGCCTCATGGCTCACCATTACATACCCTAAACCATTCCGCTTAACGGAATTATTCATATAACGCCTTTTCAAAATAAACTGTTATAGGGGAAGTCGTGGAAAAAGTGCTGCAATCCGAAATATTTTCAATGGCGTTCGTCCTTAAGCCAAAATATGTTGCTGCACCAAATTTCAACAAAGTATCTCAAATATGACGCCTTATAATTTGAATGCAAGACTGACAGACGGACAGACACTCTATCGTTATATACATTCGCACGAACTTAATATATCCTTGCATAGTCTTAATCTACGCTTGTATCTCGTATAAAAAGAAAAAAAAAAACATGAAATTTCTTTACCTAATGATATTAAGAGGGCGTAACCAATCTTTTCCCCTTTTTTCACAATTTCGACATAGAAATTTTCGTTTCTGATCCATGTCGTAATTTTTAAACAATAATGAGTATTCAATGAAAACCCATAAAGCAGAGGTTTTCTCAGTTTATGTTAAGCTGTAGGCGTGTCCTTTGGCTGCATTGGACCATTTTACGATTAACTCGCGAAGAAAAACTGCTAATGTTTTCGCTAAATTTGATGCCTATATCTTAATGAGAAGATCGGGTGCAAATAGCAGTACACACGGACAGACATTCCTAATTGTACCGAGAATTTGATAATGATCAAAAATATATGTTCACCCATTGTAGGGTTTCCGTAGTTAAAATCTGCTTGTCTCAGATGTTTTAACGAAATGAACATAACCTCATGCTTCCGCGTTGCGTGTAATTATAGCAAAATGCTTACTAACTGCTTCGTAAGACACGCTAATCCTGTGCAAAATTAACTAACGTAGAATGACCGCTAAAGCTAAACAAAGTAATTTTATTGGCTTTCGGACAAAGCGTAACTGCATAAATTGAAAATATTGTTGGTGGTATATAAAGGCGATATTTTTCCTATTCAATGGCAAAACTAATATATTATCGTCCTGTTCGTGTGAATTAGACAAGAGTTATAGTATATTTTCCGCCAATGAAAGTGTATATATTTCGTATGACCTTCATTTGGGCAATAATTTATTTACTTTTTTTTTTTATTACATTTTATACTGCAAGTTAAGTCGACGTTGATATGATGATGTTGATTGATTGAAAGCGCGGTAACGGCTATGTGAATGTTGATAAAGGAATCAAACCGTTACGACACCTATCATACATGAAAATATTTACTGATATGATGAAGTTTGTATTTTCTTCAGGCAAATGCAAATATATATATATATATATAAGTTTGCATATGAATAAACCTGAGTAAAATTATAATAAGTAAGACGGATACAATGGCCGTAAAGAGCGTTTTTTGAATACCCTACACTTGTACGGCAAATAAGAGAAAACAATGCGAACATTATGATAAGCCGACGTTTACTATCATTTAAGTGTACCTCTTCAATTCATTATTAAGTACATGTTGACTGTTCGTTAATTTAAATTGAGATTAATTTGAGATTAGATTGAACTTAGATTTACGTTAAAATTAACTTGTTAAAGGGGTGGTTGGTTTAAAAATATTTATTTGTCAACGAGACTATATTTATACTCTACACCACTTGTGGTATAAGGTTGTGCGCACATTATACAATACCCGGAAGAACTTGAGAACTCATTATGCTGATGGATTAGAAATCCCTTCTTAAATCGATCAAAGCTTGTCTGTCTGTCTATCCGTCTTGTATCTTTCAACCTACAGATCGCAATTTTCGAGACATTTTGATGAAATTTGGCATATTGGGGGACATTGGCCCAAGGATATACACTATTGAAAATTGTTTGGATCGGACGACTTTTTCGAGATATTCCTATATAACAGTTTACTTTCAAAAGTCATAGGAATAATCGTAGGGTGGTGTAGTGTGACATATTCCTATATAACACTTTACTTTGAAAAGTCATATGAATAATCGTAGGGTGGTGTAGTGTGACATATTCCTATATAACACTTTACTTTGAAAAGTCATATGAATAATCGTAGGGTGGTGTAGTGTGTTTAATTGTCCTCGGTAACGAACCACTTTTTCGACCACATCTCATATAATGCTTTATGTTCAAGAGTCATTATATGAATAAATGTAGAGCGGTCTAGGCTGTAGGTGTGTGTTTAATCATGCCTCACTATAGTGTTTTTATTAGTTTATTTTAAAAATTATGTTGTTTAAATTTTATTTAATTTTCTTCTTCTTCTTCTTATTCTTTTTGTAGATATTCCAGACATTCCTGATGACATCAAACACTTAAAAAGTCTACAAGTGGCTGATTTCAGTTCAAATCCAATTCCAAAATTACCTGCAGGTTTCTCGCAATTAAAAAATTTAACAGTTTTAGGTTTAAATGATATGTCGTTAACCACATTACCAGCAGACTTTGGATGGTCAGTATAAAATGGGAGTAATTTTTTTTTTTTCTAATTAATTCAAATTATGTTTTTTCCCTCCGCCCCTCTCTTATGTTATATTACAGTTTAACGCAATTAGAATCTTTAGAGTTACGCGAGAATTTATTAAAACATTTGCCAGAGTCTATAAGTAAATTAACAAAACTGAAACGCCTTGATTTGGGCGATAACGAAATCGAAGAACTGCCACCATATTTGGGTTATTTGCCCGGTCTACAAGAATTATGGTTAGATCATAATCAATTGCAAAAATTACCACCAGAAATCGGTCTCTTGACTAATCTAACATATCTCGACGTATCAGAGAATAGGTAAGTTTTCATATACACATATACAAGCACGCACAGCGGCCCAGTAATACTTATTAAATGTTAATTACAGATTGGAAGAAATTCCAAATGAAATTAGCGGATTAATTAATTTAACAGATTTAGATTTAGCACAAAATCTATTGGAATATTTGCCAGATGGTTTGGCGAAATTAAGTCGTTTAACGATATTAAAATTGGACCAAAATCGTTTACAAAGACTAAATACAAATATAGGAGAGTAAGTAAGACAAAATAATTAAAAAAAAAAAAAAAAAAAAAAACATTTAATGTATAATCATCCATCCATCCATCCATCATACATAAATAATTTTTCTTTCTCTTAAAGCTGTGACAGTATGCAAGAGCTTATACTCACTGAAAATTTTCTCTCCGAATTGCCGGCTTCTATTGGCCGAATGACCAAATTAAGTAACTTGAACGTAGATCGTAATGCCCTTGAGAGCTTGCCAATTGAAATTGGAAATTGTGCAAATTTGGGTGTTTTGAGTTTGCGTGACAATAAGTTGAAAAAATTGCCACCAGAATTGGGTAATTGCGGTGTATTGCATGTGCTCGACGTGTCGGGCAATCAATTGCAGTATCTTCCCTACTCTTTAGTTAATTTGCAATTGAAGGCCGTCTGGTTGTCAGAGAATCAGGCACAACCATTACTAACATTTCAGCCAGATACTGATGAAGCAACAGGTGAACAGGTATGTACACTTTTATTGTGCTTTGTCGTGTGCAGAGGGCCGACTTGTTTTTCTCATATATATATATATATATATATGTATTCTTCTTTTTAAACAAATAAACAAATAATAATTTATTACGTTTTATTTATTTATTTTTCTATATATTTCCCTTATTTCTCTTACACTATAGGTGCTGACGTGCTTCTTACTGCCACAGCAAGAATATCAACCTATAACACCCGGTAAGTTTTAATTGAAATTTTTTTCATTTATTTAATTTTTTTTTTTTCACCGCGAAATACAATAAAAATTTCATATTAAATTTGCTGCTTTCATTGCTTTTGTTTATATCTTTTGCTTAAAAATTATTTCATTTGTGTTTTCGCTCTGTGCATATCAATAGTAATAAAGGAAACAATCGAATTGAATAAGTTTTCTACATTTTTTTTTTTTTTTTGCCAATAACTGAATAAAATCATTGTAAGATGGAAAAGAATTTATTTTGGTTTCTGACAACGACCTCCTTTAGTTAGAAGTAATTTTTAA